AGAGGGAGGAAGAGAGGGTGAGAGAGAAAGAGAGAGAAATTTTCCAATGTTCCCATCCACTGGTTCAGGCAGGCTGAACAGGAATCAGCTTGGTCTTGAACCTGCTCCCAAATGGTATGCTGGCATCGTAGGCAACACCCCAACATGCTATGCCACAATGACGGCCCCAGGGTAAAGCACTTTTGCCAGCTCTGATACAGAAGCAAAAAGACTGTTGACCAAATGTTGTTCTTTATGAACGAAATAGAATGTAGAGAAACTTTAAAGAAAATACAAACATGATAAAAAGTAGACTGATATTATAGTTAATCACCTTGATAGTTGCTAATATAGTGAGCAGAACTGGATTATACAACCAAGCAATCTTCAAAAAGTTCATGGAATTGCATATAATGAAAAAACAACTATGTATGGATTTCAGAGCATTTTTACACTGAAATAAGCCAATATTTTACTTCATTTTCCCATGAACTTTGTGACGTTCCCTCATAGTTGATCCATAATGCTGTAATGTTCAACGTAGTTGAACTCCCATCTGGAATTTTTCTTTAGATTGGATTTATTTGAGACGGAAAACCGCACACCAGTTTCCATTTGCTGGTCCCCGCCCCAGGTGAGGGCGGGGCACGAAGCCGACCTCACTCTTGGACTCGCGTAGGGTGTGGCGGGCGGGAGGGTGGGGGTCCAGTTGTTTGAGCTGTTTGGGACTTGACCGTTTGTCAACAGCCAGGCTAAACATGCGCCCTGCCAGACCTTTAATTACATTTGGAAAACCAAAATGGGTCTAGAGAAGGAAATGCTATGAGAAAAGGAAAAGGAAAAAGGAAAGGAAACTCTCAAGAACTGGAGAAGGTTTGAGGGGCCTTTTGACTCGAACCTCATGTACAAGACAATGCCCGTTCTCCAGTGACAAGATAAGTGAGACTTGACCAGCCCAAAGTTCAGCCTGGAAAGTTTGTTTTGAGCAGAAAAAACTTGTGAGCGTATCACCGTCTGTATTAAAGTTTCATCATGAGAAACCGCTGTGGTTTAGGCAGCCCCTGAAGCCCAGGTGTCGCCCCTCCTGCGAGGAGGCCGCGACACCTGCTGCTCCACTGGGGCAGCAAGGCCCTTCAGCACCCGCCCACTTGCTGTGACGCTCTTCCGCCCAGTGAGGACACAGTGTGCCTCCTGGCCAGAGGATGCGGCTTTCAGCAGACCGCCAACTCAGCCGAGACCTCCAGAACGGTGAGAAAATACAGTTTGAACTGTTTTAAAATCTGCCAGCCTCGGGTGCTCTGCTACAGCGGCTTGGAAGGACCGAGACATGACGTCTGCTGGTGCCTTCGCGTTGTTTCGTGTGATGGGGCAGGTGATTCGTAACTTGCTCTTTGGTTCTAGGAAAATGCCGAATAAGGCAAGATGGGCGGTAGGCACGAGGGCACAGAAACAGCTGGGAGTGTGTTCAGAGGCCTGGAGAGGGTTCAGGGGTAAAAGAAAGGGCAACATTATCTGCCCTGCAAGTTCTTCCTCAGAAACCATTGGAGGATGCCCTGAACTATAGATGGGGTTAAACTATTAGACACAGCATTTCTATGGCAAAATCTTTAAAGCTTTGCATCTGAAAGCCGCAGTCTGGGGCCAGACATGAAAATGTGTCTGTCGCCTGCTCCCAGGAGGTATCTGGGACTCTCGGCCAAATCTAAAGAAAGATCTAAGCAAGCACCGAATAGACCCATGGTTTGGGTGAGGCCATTTGGGCTTGAGTATATGAAATCGCGCTTAAACTGGGAACCAGTGAGAAATCTATATAGAAAACAGCTGTGCCTCCCAGTCAACGCTGTTGGCTCTCACGCTCACCCCCGCTACCACCAAAGGCAGTGACTGTCGGAAATGAGGCAGCAGAATTCAAAATGAGTTTTCTCAGGGATTGTACCAGTGTGAGATTGTATCACTTCATGTCAGCCACCTCCGTAGTGCTCTGTTCTGCGGCCTCAGTAAGTTTCATTTTGTTAGCACTTGGCTTATCTGCTGCTTGGCTAACCAACTTTTTTATAACCTCAGATTTCCTGAAGTGGTGGAGGTGGTAGTAAGTCACTTTCTATTCTTTCTAAATCTCTGATTTTCCTTCCTGTCTCTGAGGAGGCCCAGTGGCCAGGAGGTGAGTCTCTGGCGCCCCGCTCCCCTACCTGGAGGGCACTAGGGAGTTGTCTGAGACTCTCTGGAAAGAAGCCTGTTTGGGCCTCCACTGGCACAACCCCTCCCCAAAATGCAGGCTCCACCTGCTAGAAGCTGAAAGGCAAGTTAGAGGTGCTTGGTGTTTGGGGGGAAGGGGTCGGGGAAGGGAAGACCAGTGGAGGAAGTATGTTCCCCGCTCCCCAGCCCTCTCTGTGCTGTCTGAAGTTCAGTGGGGTTAGGGGTGAAGATCAAGCTCTAGGGAAGGATTTGCAGGTGCCTTAAAGTAACTGCATTAACTGCAAGGTAATTATGTGAGGAGTGCTGTGCCGAATCCAGCTGCAGCCTATTTTCTGCCTTTATCATAGCTTCTGGGGTCAAATCACTTATGTTCCAAGTCCATTATTTAATCATCATTATTATTGTCTTCCATGAGCTTCTGATGACTAAACATCTATGACCCAGGCACCCTCACCCAAACCACACTGCTGTTAGCCTGTCTCTAAACTCCCTCCTCCTCCCTCTATCTCCATTTTCCAGCTGCCTAAAAGTTGTATCAGCACCCTAAAAAACCCTATGGTCGGTGTCAGCTATTGCCAGTTAAGAGATTGTGGGTTCCCACCACCTGTATCCTTATTCGAGCTAGAGTGAAAGAATGAGAGGAGGACGGACTCACCCTGGTCCTGACACCCACTTCTGGTGGGGTGGCAGGGAGGAAGACATCAGCCATTCTGAACCCCTGCAGCAGAGGGCGCCACTTGCCTGAAGGAATCTTTTTGGGTTCTAGGGCCAGGTGGGCAGCAGCGGAGCAGCCTGCAGTCCTGAGCAGAGAGCCAGGGCCCTTTCCACAGCCCAGCCTGCCAGGGCTGGCTCAGACGTGGGATTCCAGGTGGGAGACCTGGCAGGGGACAGCAAGGGAACTGTGCCTAGAACGGTGGCCCTGTGGCACCGTGCCAGCCTCACAGGGCAATCAGGCACTGTCTTGCCCATCCTGACCAAACCCAGCCTGCACCCGCCTACCACCACTCCTACACGTTTGTTCCTAGACCAGTTAACTGGAACTGACAGTATTGATGATGCAGTGTGTTCTTGAACATGGCACAAGTAACAAAGGCACATGTCCCTGGGGAATCTCCTCTGGTGGGGGCTGGGAAGTGATGCTTCACCCACAGTTTGTGTCTGTCTGTCCTGATAACTGCAAAGCAAAAACTGCCAACCCCTAAATCTCTGTTCTTGAGTGTCAGATCTGACCCTGACCTCTCAGTATGGATGCTAGGTCTCGGAGGGTGATCCGAGCACAAGGCTGACAGAGCCTCGCAGGGGAGGCAGTGGGTGAGCAGGTGACCTGTTGGAGAATTTGGCACAAAGATGTGCGTTTGAATGTGACTGCCTAGTAGGCCACACCTGGACTGGGCAGAACTGTTTGTCCTAAGTACACTCCATTGGTTTAGAGTGGAAATTGAAACTCCCACATATCAATGAACCGATATACTTCTAGTGTATGAGTGTTCAGAAGATACCCACTCCATTTCCACTAAGATAGAAGCCAAGGGCTTTTTCTGAGCCACCATATTTGTAACAAAAGGATGGGTATGTTAGTTATTTTAACCATAGTACCGAGAGAGAGAGAGAGAGAGGGGCAGACAATCAGAATTACTGAATCAAGTGGAAGCCTGGAAGAGTCTGAGCTAGGTCCTGTAAGTTGACTGTGTCAGTTCCTCTGCTGCCTGGGTTTATTCTTTGCGATGTACTACGAGAGCTGCTTGGGGGTCCCATCTTTTTCATGTGTAGTCCTGTGGCTGGACTCCTGGTCTTGGTGACAGAATGCAGTGAAATGCAGGTCCCTTCAAACGCGAATTTGGCTTCGACTCACCCATTGTAGGGCACAAGGAAAAGAATGATTCTTTTGTCATGGACCCAGGGCTTTGACTGCTGGGACTCCTGCTGGACAGATGTGGGTCACGTGGGTGTGCAGGGACGTCAAACTGGCCACCGCCATGCTCTGACACAGTGCAGCTTGATTGTTCTTACAAAGAGGAGGAGAACAGCCTTCAAAGATGTTTTGTTGTCATTATGGTGAAACAAACTTTGGAAGTATTCTGTGTCTGGAGATAGAAAAGTACAAAATGGAGGCATCCTAAATTGTTCGCATGCTTCACTCTTTTGGGCTGTGCATACTCGCGGTGCCAACTAGTTAGGAAGTCCCTAGCCTCACCCTGAGAGCATAGGATTTGAAATCAAAGCAGGTTTTGCGGCAGAGCCTGCACCTGTCGGGAGGGCCACGCATGTGGGGGCTGCTCAGCACCAACACCTGTTCTCCCAAGTGGCTCCGGTGAGGAGCCACTGGCTTTCTTGCCTTTGCTTCCATCGAACTTGTCGGGGGAGAGAGGATGCGGGGAAGCTCCAGTTTCTGCGGGGGACATATGGCACTTTCGATAATTGGGAGAGTGGCATGAGGATGGTGAGCAAGACGGACCCGCCGAGAGCGCTCCCTGGAGTCAAGCACCCCTCAGCGGCCACCTGCAGGGCCCGGGCAGCCCGGTGCGGGGCGCGAACCCGGGAGGAGCGCGCAGCGGGCGCGGCGGCAGCAGCGACGGAGGAGGGGCCGGAGCCGGGAGCGCGGCCGAAGGACGCCCCGTCCTCCAAAGGCGGCCACTTGCTTGAGGCGGATGCAAAGGCGGCGCCGCTGGGCTGCGCTCTGCCTGGCCCCCGGCTCAGCTGCCCAGACTCCAGGAAGCCTCCCTCTCCGCTCCCCCACATCCTTCCCGCGAACAGCACCAGCCCCGGAGCTTCCGAGCTTCGGAGACCCGCCGGCAGTGCACCCGGGCGCCGGGCGTGCAGCTGCTGGTCGGGCTGTGAGTAGCTTTGTGGATATCTGGGAGGTGCGCGCTGGTGCTGTGTGTATCTGTCCATCTCGGCTGGGCGGCTGTGCCCTTCGACTTGTGACGGAAACGAGGCGGCTGGAAGCCCGGCAGCCGCCCCTTGGCCAGCTGTCTTGTTCAGAGCTTAGCTCTCCTGACTGAGGAGCGAAGCGCCACGTTCAAGGCGTTTCACTGTGAGTTGCAGTTTTGCCTTGCTTCCTGTCTGCGGAGCGGAGGAAGATTTTCAGGTAATAGGCTTGCCCGTGAATGTTGTGTGTGCACGCCAAGCTGTCAGGCTTGTGCCCTGAATGGCATAGGAAGAGCAGAGTTAGAGCGCGAGGCGGGGGAAACGGCATCTTGAGGTGCAACATGCTACCGAGGCACGCAGGTGCAGTGGACGTCGCGAGCCGGCGGCTGGGTAGGGGTCTGGGCAGCAGAGCGGACCAATCACCGCCCCTTCACCCCGCTCTCAGCCCTGCCGCCAGCCCCCGCCCTGCGTGCAGATAGGTTAAAAAGCCCTCTCTCCTGCTTGTTCCCAGCAAAGGCTTCGGTTTCTCAGGATCTGGCGTTTATGATACTTACTTAATGAATATTTTTAGACAGTGTGGAGGAGAAAGGAATTTATTACGACCAAGTACAAATCAAACCAAGATCAACAGTTGAGTTTTTTTTTTCTTTTTTGATTTTTTTTTTCATGTATCTACCCCGCCCCCCCCCCCATGCAGCTGGTCCGGTATAAATGAGAAATAATATTCACGTGTTGTGCTTGACACCTCCAAGTAGAGTGGTCTAGGAAAATAAGCTTTTCACTTTGTTTTACCATCAAACAAATGATTGAAAAAGTGACTTGTTTGGGCCCACGGTCCATCCTAATATCTCCTCTGGAGCATTCCCGACAGGCCCGCTTGGCCAGGATGCTACAACCACAGGGACCCGCCACACTCTGAGTAGCCCTCACTTTCTGCCTGGAGAGGAAGCCCTTGTTTACACTGAACTGACAGCGGCTTCCTTCCTGCTCTCCCTCATCCCCCCCACACCCCAACCCGTGCTCCCTTTCTCCCTAGAGTTCATTCTGCCAGTAACCCTTCAGCTTCTGAAATCCTACAAAAGACTTTATGGTGAAGACGACCTTAATGCCTTAATCAGTTTGATCGCCAAAACCTAGTTAATGGTAGATTCAAAGTGAAACAGAACGACTCTTTTTGTGTCCTTTATCTGACCAGCATTTCAGGTCCTGTTTCCCCATCTGTAAAATGGGAACAATACACTCTACCTACAGTAGTATTGACATTACATTAACTTCATCAAGTGTTTGATATTGGTGATCAGAAGTAAGTAAAAGGCATCTTCAGTAAACGTGTTTCCTTCCTAAGACTTCACTCTGCTAACTACAGGTAGCCTAAAATTCGGCAAATCATTCTAACTTGAACAGTAGATGGTAACGAGTTCTCCACTGTTTGATTGCCTTTTGTGCTCCAGAGCCAAGTAAAAGCCTCAAGCCTCTCCCCTCTCCTCCATGTTTTCTTTCTGTCCAGATGGGCTTTGTTAATGTTTTAATTCTGCAAATTAGTCATGTCTTAAATCTGAATTTTGTTGGCTTGTATTACCTTAAGCTTTTCTTGATTTGTTGGCCATGTTTTACTTTCCATGTTGTTAATTCTTGTTTTGTGTTATCTGCTCATTTAGTGAGTTAATCCACCAGGCACTGGAAACACAATAATAAAGGACACAGATCCTTGTGCCAAGATTGGCACAGCAAGAAGCTGTGGTCGTACCACCTTCTAGTACTGTGACCTTAAACTAATTTTCCCTATCAGTCAACTGAGGTTGGTAGCATCTGCCTTTCAGAGTGTTAAAATTCAGCGTAGTGGAAGTTCCACCTACAGTACTCGCTGGGAAATGGAATGACTCTAAATCAGAGTGCTGAAGTTAATGAATCAGCTGAACTTGGTGAAAGTTCTCTATTTATCAACTGTTCTAGTCCTGATCAAATGCCACTGCAAATGAAGACCTTGATTATTCCCTGATCTGTCAAAAAGATAACATTTTTAGTGAATTACTAACTCCTAGAACTCTATCCAGCTTTCTCAATAACAGCAAACCTTCCCCTCAACCAAATGATCTGTTTATGATTAAGTTTCCAGTTTTGTCATGTTGATGCCAAACTCGTCTGTCATGCTCAGGAGTTCAAATTCTTCAGGTCTGAATGTCTCAAAATACCAGGGAGAACCAAATGGGGTTGGAAATTGTTAACTCCTTGGACCTCCCTGGTCTTTCTGTATGTTGTGCTCGATTTCTATGTTCAAACCTGCTGCCCTCGTAAGTAGGGCTCAGGTGTAAAGCTGTAGTATGTTGAGAGTAGCTTCTGGCAGAGTCTTGGCTCTCTGCGAAAGTGGTTCTTGCCCTTTCTAGCTTGAAAGTCACTGGCTTTTAAGGAAACAAAACATTTGCCGAGCAGTTCTGCTTTCCTTCTAATTACTTAGGATTCCATCTGCACTTGGATCTGGGAATTTAACTGAGGCTTGTTTTCCATAGAAAGTATCCTTTTTTAAAATTTTTTTTTATTTTGAATTTTGAATTATGTGGTACAATTTTGTATTGGCTGGGATTGTCCCCCAAACTTCCCCCCGTCAGATTTTTCCCATTTTGTTACAATAGTGTAGTCCTTCATAAGGAATCATAATTCCATTAGTCTCTTATTTGAGTGTACCCCGACATTGTTGGTACAGACAATGTCCAGCATGTTTCATGGCTTCTCACTTATGGTAATGTGTAGTGATGGAGTACTGGGGTCTATCATATACAGACGTGGGGGTATAATGGAACATGCACCCCTGCATCCAGATGAAAGTGCATTCCCAATGAAACTGGACATGTGTAGAAAATGGGATGCTGGACTATCTGACATAGAATCCTAAAGAACAGCATGCAGCAGGTCGGCAGCAGATTAACAAAAACACTCTTGCCGAATGTTTTGGCAGAAGTAAATTATCCTAATAACTGAAATGGGATGATCCTGGTGTTTTAAGAATTCCTATGGAACGAAAGTTGTGGAATTAGAAGTCCTTTTCACATGGGGCTGAAAGAAAAATTAGTAAAGTTGGGTAGATAACAGGTAGGGAATGACAGGTATAGACCAGAGGACTTCCCAATTAAGGAGGACTGGTCAAACACAACGTTGATCCAAATAGTATTGCAAACTTTGGGTATTTCCATATAAGTACCATGAAAGACCTTTCTAAGGTGTACCATTCATTTCCCAACGTCTAGTACTCTATTGGCACATGGCCATCAGATAAATGGCATCTATTAAATATCAATGAAAAGAGCTATTCGGCAAAAATGCCTGCTGTCTTTGAGGAATATCTGGCCTCTTGGAAGACAGCATTTGTAAACTTTACTCAGATTGCTCTTCTTGAGCTCCATTTTAAGGCTAGAGGTGGGCAGGGGGTGAGGGACAGGTGTAGGGGGGAGTGGGGGTGGAAAGGACTTCTCCTAGCCTGGAAGTTAGTCCTTGCATTTAGGAAAGGAGAGACAGGGAGCTGAGTGCAGATAACAGGGAGCTAGTGTGTTTCTAATGAGCTTGGGTGTGACAAGGAGACAGCTAGCTTGTTGGTAATGGAGGTATCCTGGAATTGGTGATAAATGCAATAAGAGTCAACAAGAATGTTTAAACTGCAAGTACCTCTCAGGGTAGGTATTCAGCATAGCAGTTAAACTCCTCCTTTATTATGCCCACATTCCACAGCACAATGCTTGGGTTTGAATTGTACTCTCTGATTCCAGCTTTCTGCTACTGCACGCTTGGGAGGACCCAGTAATGGGTCCAGTGTTTGGGCTCCCTGCCACTGACATGGGAGAACCAGACTGAGTTCCAGGCTCCTGGAGTTAGCCAGGCCCTGGCACTTGAAGAGTCCCCATCTCCTTCTACACAAATGCACACACAATCTGACTTAAAAGAGCAAATCCATATTCCTGTTCTAAAAAATATATCTTCCCTCTTGAAATACTATACTGTGAGCAACAGATAGTAGGGACACTTTAATAATGCCTTAGGGGAAAGAACATAGTATATGTATCAGGAAATAAGAAATTTAAATGGTAAAACTGTTCAGAATTTTTGGTCTTATGAGTCTAGCATTTAATGATCTTTTACTTGTGCCTTCAAAAGTATTTGAGATAGTTTTACTACTTAGCTTAAACACTGCATTCAACAGGGGAAGAGGAAAAGCTCTTCCTCTATGGTCATAGGTTCAGTGACCAGGGCCTGCAAATACAACTAACTAGAAGATTGATTTGATTATGTGTGCATGCATAGAAGTCTGCAAAGGAAATGTGACTCAATGTGACAGATTTGGGGTTTGTATACCATCTAACAAAAGACATTAAAATGTAGTTTCTAAATCAAATTTTCTTAATTTCTTGCTCAACAGCTACATTTCATTTTGGTGTGAGAGTTTGTGTTACAGTGCTGTAGGAATTGCTGCATGATTAAAGTTCGGCTATTGATTGTCATACAAAGGAATGGCCTGGTGCAGCTACAGGGGAACCACACAGTACAGCCCTGAAGGGCTGAGATGAAGCTTGCTAGGCTTTTATCTGCAGGTGCAGGACCTGTGCCGAGGCTAAGTACTCCCATCTGACTTCAGGGATCTTCTCTGTTCAAAATGCTCAATGAGTGTTGGCATGCTTAGGTTATATGTCTTTTATTATAATCAAGATGTAACTACAGCATTTAGAATATAATGATCTGATACTAGATTTGGTCCTAGATACCTACCTATCTCACTTAAGATGCTCACTTAATTCCCATGACAATCGCAAGAAAAGTCTTTATTTTATTTTATTTTTATTGACAATCTTTACATAGTTAATTAGGGTAAAAAGGTTCAAGGGCTACAGGAAAGTGGGTAAGACTTATTTTTTTTCCATATAGTTTCCTTCATGTTTAACGGGGGGCATTAAGGGAGAAGGCCCACCCAATTTCCCACCCTCCCCAGGTCCCGGATGTAGGGTATGCTCTGAGGTTCTTGCTCAGGTGGTTTTGATATTTCAACAGTTATGAATCGCTGCCAATCTTGACCCTCCAAGCACTGTGAGGTCTTTGAAGAATCCACTGGTTGACATAGTCCATCATAGAGTCTCTGTTTGACCCGTATTTCGCTGCCAAGATTTAGCTGAGATGGTTGGTTGATCTATTCTGTCTTCTCTCTTTTCTTGGTTAGGGTTCTGAGTCCCCAGCATTTTG